ATTGCCCAACCTTCCTTCCAAGGAGTGGCTGGTGGGTTTGAACCACCAGCCTTCTGGTTAGCAGTCAAGTGCCTTAAGCACTACGCTAGTCACGTTAGCACTTTGGTTTCTTATCCAGAAAGTAACTCATCCTTCTCCAGCACCACTTGGCATTTTATATTCTATTGAGCACTTTTAAGCCTGTAATCTCATTGGCCCCTCACAGCAGCTTGCCCTTTAGATGTGATTTCCCTTTATTTATAAACACTTAGGTGCAGAGCCAGCCGCCAGCCACTCCATGGAAGGAAGACTGGGCAGTCTACTTCCATAAAGATTTACTGCCTCGGAAACCCAAAGGGGGTCGCTATGAGTTGGAATCAACTTGATGGCAGTGAGTTTGGTTTTTTTGTTGTTGTTAGGTTCAGAGACAGGAAAGAAGACTCTAAGATCATCTAGCTGGTGAGGAGCAGAGTTGGGATTTGAACCCAGGTCTTTTAATAACCAAAAGCCCCGCTCTTGTCCCTCCACTACAAGTGCCTCCTAGAGCCAGAATTTTTTAAATGCAAATACAGATCTTCCTCTTATCTCTTCCAGGCCCCCAGGAAATCTACCCTTTCCAGGAAAGGGTTTGATCTCTGCAGCCACTCAGCTTAGGCCCTCTCCTGTCCCTGGCCTCCTTGCCTCCATCAGGCTCTCCTCTACCAGGGAGCCTTCCCTGAGTGCCATATAGATCAGGGCCTCCTCTGGGCTCCTGAACTCTGACTGTGGGCCTACAAGACAGTGAGCTCAGAGCAACCAAGTACTGGTTTGGTTCATGTAGTGTGTTGGAGCTACACAGGAAATGCTCAATACATTTTTTCTTAATGAATGGAAGAGTCATAGATGTGAAGGTTTGAGGAAACATGAAATCAATCTCCTGTCTGAGATGAAAGAAAAGGGATGATCTATACATTCAAGTGTAGAACAAAAAAATTCCAGCTCTGCCGTTTCCCAGATGGGAAGACTGAGGCCGGCCTAAGAGCACAGTGAGTCAGAGGCTGAGCAGGCAGGGCAGGAACACAGACTCAGAACTCCCTGCCCGCCCTCAGCCCTTGATTCCTCCAAAGAGCCGCAAGGTGAGTAGGATAAGGAAGGGAATCGCCTGCCCTCAGGCATCTCTTTGGTTCTTCCTACTCCATGCAGCACAAGGACTGGCACTACTACCTGCAGGAGACACGGCTTCATAGAGACTCCATGGGAACGAGGAATGCACCTGCAGCTGAAATCCTTGCAAACTGGAAACCTACCCTGGCTGCCTTGATGCCTGGCTCCTAGTCCCTTCCTCCCTCACAATCTGTCTTCTGGGGCCAGTAAGCATAGCATTCTCATCCTTACCCTCAGCTCCCTGGACTATCCCGGCTTAAAGAAGAAACAACAAAACAAACAAAATGGCAGCTATTATTATGGGAAAACAACTCCATGTCAGGCTCTGGACTGAGTGTACAGATTCCTTTCCTTGTTTAATTCTGGCCATTTTTTACCCCACCGAAGGAAACTGAGGCTCAGGGGGAGAGCTGCCCAAGATCAGAGAGACAGGGATTCACACCTACCATTGGTGAGCTATTGGTACAAATTGAGTTCTGGCCAGTAGGCCCCTAGCAGGGCAGTACCCAGGTTCTTCCCACCGCACAGCAAATAATACCAGCCACCACTTACTGAACATTGATTATGTGTGCGTTGGGGGAAAACACTGTGCTGTGCTTCACAGGTTACCCCCTATGCAAACCCACATCACCAAGTTACCTCTGGATACTCAAAGGTTCCCTGGGGCATGAGTCCTGAGAGTTGAGCCCGGAGGTAAAGTTGGCCAAGCCCAGAGCCTGTAAGACGTGTTTTCTGTCCAAGCACCGAGTACTCTAGTCTCAAGGCCCAGAGGAGGCTGCACAGGCCTCTCCAGCTATCCAGTCCAGGAAGGAGCTTGCAGCCATGGCAGCTCTCAGAATTCCATTTCCAGCGCTACCACCCTCCCGGAGCTCTAAGGTCCAGTGCTGACTCATTGACAATGGGGAGGGGTCTTGAGGGCAGTCCTTGTCCAGAATTCAGAGCCTCTCCTTGACCGCCTACTGTCCACTGACTCTGGGATACCAGGAAATCACTCCCCAGTTTTTCTTTTTAGGAGGGAGGAGGAATTGCTCCGCACCTCTGTTTTGCTACCTGAACACAGAAGGGAAAGGGGTAGGAAGGGCAGCAGGCCTGTGGACAGCCCAAGATTTGGTGGACTGGGTTCAAATCATGCCTCTGCCACTCCTATCTGCATGACCCTTGGCCGGGGGGGGGGGGTCACATTTCTTAGCTTCAGATTCCTCAGCTCTAAAAGAGTAGTTCTAGGGAAGATACAATGTGAGAAAGCCCCTAACACAGTGTAGACACCTTGCAGGCTCTCAGCAAATGCCAATTTCTTTGTATTATTTTAAAAACCATTGTCATTCTCATGTGCATTGATCTTCCATTTGCCAAGAATCCAAAGCTCACCCAGCTTCTCAGCTCCCTGGCTGGGTGGCCGAGGCCCTTCACCTCTCCGAGCCTCAGACTCCCAGTGGTAGAACGTGGAGTTGCACCTGGAGATGTCTGAGGCTCTCTCTGCCTGTTATTCTGGCTCTGTGAAATCTCTAATGGACTCTGAGGAGTAAGAAGTATGGTGGCAATGGCACAACATTACAAACTCCAGGGATGGGCTGCTGGCAGGCAGCTGTGAGCATTTCCAGCCTCCCGAGGCAGCTGCCCATCCTGTGACATAGGCTTTGAGTAACAGGTCCTTCTGAGGCTGCAGAGGGCCTCTGCATTCCCCAGCCCAGCCTCCAGCCTCACCTCAGTGACTTCTGAGTGTCACAGGTGGATTTATGCAGTCTCTGTTCCCTGTACCCTGCAGGTCACTGACTCTGGGGCTAATCTCCCTACCTTGGTACAGGAAAAAGGAACAAAATTGAGTTAAACCTGGTCCTTGCCCTCAAGGAGTTCTCAGTCCAGCAGATGAGATAGACTTGGATGTGTTCACCAACAACCCCATGTGCTCAGTATAGTCAGTGCTGAGATGGAGAGAAACCCAGGAGTTACAGGAGCCCAGAAGAGAGAGCAACCAGAACCAGGTCAGCCTGGGAGGAGAAAGGGAAGGCTTCCTGGAGGTGCATTTGACCTGAGCAAGAATAAATAAGAGGCTAGGAAGCGACAGACAGGCCCAAGTCAATCCAAAAGAGTCCATTTGGGGAAAGGGTTTGTCCCCAGGAGGGACCTGTTACAGAGAAGGCCTTCCCAGCTGTCTTACCCCAAATCCCTGCCAACATATACACATTCTGCATTGCCCAGCTGGGCCCATTGCCCTTTGAAGGTAGCCTTGTTGAACAGAATCCAGTATTGGCCTCACTGTATCTAGAGGAATGACTTATTCAAGTCACCGAACATCTCCAAGCCTTAGTTTCCTCCTTTATAAAATGAAAAGAGCAGTACTAACCTGGCAAGGTTATTGGGTAAATAAGATATTTAAATATTCTAGTAGGTGCTCATTAAATTCATGATACCTTCCTTCCTTTGATGCCTCTAACTTTTGGTGGCTGGGGAGGACGCAAGGATTCTAGGACTATAGGGCTTCTAGGGCAGGTGGGAGAGAGGCCTGAGCCTGCCTGGGCAGGGCTTCTTACCATCTTACAGGGCCCCTTCTCACGGCGTTGGGAGGTAGCCAGGCTCAGGGTCATCATGGCCAGGAGCTGCAGGATCTGGAGGCTCATGGCTCTGCACAGGGCAGGGAGGAAAGGGAAACACCGTAAGAATACTGGATCCCTCCCCACTGTCAGCCCCCACCGCTCTCACCAAGACTGTGCCTGCCTTTGGGGAACCACAGGCCACACCATCCACAGCAGCAGGAATAAAGTTGTCTGTGGTTGGGATGGGAAGGGAGCAGCAAATGGAACTGCAGCCAATCACAAAGGGCCCTGAATGCCAGGCTAAATAAGCAGCTGGGCATTACTCTGGGGGTAGCAAGAGTTTTAAGTACTGGGTAATCTGGTCAGATGTAGGTGCTCACAGGACCTCATCTGCTAGGAGACAGCCTGCAGGGGTAAGCAGGAGGCAGAGAGACCCTGAGAGCTGCCTGGGGCTAAGCTCAGGCCTGGGGGTGGGATTGGGTGGGAAGCTGGACCTCTGACTCCATTTCCACCCAGGCCACAAGTTGGTCCCCAATCTTGGCTCCTGGGGCCCCAAACAGAATTCCTCACTCTCACCCAGGGGACTTTTATTTTGCTCCTTTTCTTTTGATTCTCTGATTCTCGGGCCCTTGCTATTGTTTGAGGGTTAGGCTGGGGGCCTTGACAGGAAGCCCCGCCAGGAGCCCTGCCCTGCCCCCAGCACCAGGCTGTGGACTTCCCTAGCAGCTAGCTGTCAACCCTGCACTTTCACTGAAGCAGCCACCAGCTCAGGAAGGCGCAGGCCTGCTGGGCCTGCCAGGGGTGGCAGGTAGAGGAAGGAAAAGAGGGAGGGAATCACAGAGACTCTCAGCAGAGTCAGATCCCAGGGCTGCTGGTGCCACTCAATCACTCGCTGAGGACCTGGGTCCAGTGTCAGGGATGCACAAAGCAATCCATTAACTTCATCTGTTCATTTATTCATCCATCCATCCACACTTATACTGACTGCCTTCTCATGCCTACCTCTGTACCGGGAGCTGGGGACAACAGAAAATGTATAGAAGTGACCATAATGTGCATGGAGAGTGTTAACAAGGAGGGACATACCAGGTCCTTCAAGAGCACTGGACTCTGAATCTCCCATACCTGACTGCCCCTTCTGCCTCCTCTACTGACCTGCTCTGTGATCAAGTCACTTCATTTCTCTGAGCCTAAGCATTCCCTTTCAGAGGTTAAGGTCAATCTCATCAAGTTTTGTTGATGAGCAAATGAGATATATTCTATGAAAGTGCTCTACATGCACAGAGCACCATGCAGGGAAGCTTCTCGACACTTTATACTTAATCCTTACTATCCCTCAACAACATGGTTTTATTATGGTTTTTATTTTCATTACCATTTTACAGATGGAGAAATCAAAGTTCAGAGAGATGATGTAACATTTCCAAGGTCACACAGCTATCAAGTGGCAGGCCCTGGTAGTCTGGGTCTGTGGCCTAAACCTTTACAGGATATGGTGTCCCACAACAGGTGCTCAGTAAATGAGTGCTGAATTATGATTCTGCAGAGCCAGGCAAAATCTTCTTTTTTCTGACAGAATCTGAGGATGGTTTTGAAGAAGCATTTACAAGTCTCTGTAGGCTATCTCTTTGATTGAAAGAACCCACTAGCATCCTGAAAGATGAATTTTAAATGAAGACGGCTGCTCTGAGACCCCTTCTTGTTAAAATACCAAGGGCCATGGTGGTGTCCCTTAAGCCTTGTTCCCTCAGGACCCCCACAGCTGCTCTATGCTCATCTGCTTTACAGGGTGGGCTTTCTCATGAGATTTTGTTCTGTTGCTCAAAAAGTTGAACAACACAACCTGTTTGAAAGCTAGTCACCTCAGAATTGAGTGAAAATCCCTCAGAGGGGCCTTCCAGGCCTTTGGGAACATGTCCTGCCTGGCCAGCAGCCCTCTCCGGCCTAGTTTCTCACAGCCTTCTCTCCCACTCTGGGTTCTGGATGCCTCATACTTCCTCTAGTTCTCTGAGCACCTTTTCATTGCCTAAAACCTTCACTTCCTCTCCTCTCCTCATCCTTTGGGTCTCAAGTTAGCTAGATGCTGCTTCCTCCAAGAAGCCTTCCCTGGTTTCCCAAGCCTGGTTACTTACAGCCCCTCCTCTGGCTCCTGCAGCCCCTGAGCTTCCAGTGAACACAGCACCCTCCTGCTGTGGGAAGCATCACTAGGGCAGAGGGCTCACTTTCCTCCAGGATTCATCTCAGAACACAGGCAGGCAGGGAGGCACAGAAAAGTGGCATTAAGGGTCTCAGTGATATGGTGATACTGCAAGAGCAGTTATTCTTGACTCTCCCTTCACTTCCCTACCACACTCTCTCCCCCCATCAGCAGTCTGTCTGCTTTTCCTGCAAGAAAGACCCCAGATCTGCCCACTCCCTCCTCCATCACTGCCACGGGCTGAGGCACCACCACAATCCTGGGCCTCCATCACGGCCCCAGCTTCCTCAGTTTGTTTCCCTGCTTCCACCCTGACCCTTACAATCTGTTCTATACATAGCAACCAGAGTGATATTTTAAAATCATAAAATCATAGATCACGAATCTCTTAACTGCTTAAAAACCTCCATGGCTTCCCATCTCTCTTAAAATAACAACCAGGCTATAACCAATCTCCTCTCTGACTCCATCTACGATTTTCCTTGCCCAGCCTTGTTGCTTTTCCTCAAACATAGCAAGTTCATCCCAGCCTTAGGGTCTTCGGCCTTGCCTTCCCTGACACCTGGAATGCTCTTCCCCAGATCATCATGTATTTGATTGCTTTCCTACTCTTTATCATTACCTGATAATTTATTTCTTATGCTACGAGAACAGGGACCTAGTGTAAAGGTGCTCACTAAAGATCTACTGAATGACTGGCAAAGTGGGGATAGACACTCGACTACAGCAGGCTGAGTGGTAAGTGGAAGATGAGGATAAGGGTAGACCAAGGGTTTAGTTCTCACGAGGAGGCAGAAGTCACCCAAAGGGGCCCTATTTCCTCTTCTCTGCCTGTCAAACCCCACTCCACGCCACCCCCAAAGTGAGTGAGCATCTGTGAGTCCTGAAGGGGCTGTCCCTGAAGCACGTAGGAGCTCTGCCCTGGCATCTGACGGAAAGGGGCATCTCAGCAGTGCCAAAGGCACAGTATGCAGCATATAAGAGCCACTCTCTCTCAACATTTCCACTATACTAGCTCAAGGTGTCCCTCCCAAACCACCCCCTGCCAATGATTCTCCCACCAGTACATGTGTACATGCACACACACTCCCCCACAATGCAGGGCTCTGGGATGCTTCCTCTCCCCCTCTCAGCCCTGATCAACTTACTGGCAAGGCAGGGTTCTGGGAGAACTGATGCAGACGCTCTCACCAAGCAGTGAATCACTAAGGGCAAGTCCCATTCTGGAGATATGTGCATCCCACGGGGGAATTAGACCTTAACCCAAAGGAATGTGGCTGTGATGGCAGAATTTCAGGCTGCTTGGAGTGGGGGTGGGGGTCCTTCATATCTTACCACCCAAGGAGAAGGCTGACTTCAGAGCCCCTGGCAGGGGTGGACAACCTCTCCTTCCTCCACAGAGATGGCAGGCTGTCTGGGGCTGTGGGATAAGAAGCCCCAAGCTAGGGGTCAGAGGGTAGCAAGAGACCTGGAATCAAGTATTGATCTGCTCTTCCCTAGCTATGTAATACTGGGCAAGTCTTGGCCTTTTGGCTAGAGTTTGCCCATCTGTCAAATGGGAACAGCCAGCTCGCCTTTTGGCCCAAAAGATTCGCCTTGAAGACCTGTCAGGGCTGAGGGAAGTCAATCCCGATGGAAGTGGAAGAGAAGTGTTGGGGTGGGGGTCCCGGGGGCGACCCTCGCGCAGCTCCAAGCCCTTCCCCTCGTGCGCTCAAGGGGCGTCGGGTGTCTCCAGCCTCGCCCGCTGGGCGTCTCCTACCTGGCTCAGCGCGGCCGCCGCTCTTCTCCCCGGCGGCCCCGGAACATTTTGCGAAAACCTGCCGCCCACCCCGCGCCAGACCCCGAGGTCACGGCCCAAGGAGGCAAACTGCCACTCCGCTGCCCCAGGGAGTGGGACCCGCGAGGGGGCGGCAGCAGCTTCAATTTAAATGCCTCTCGCGCCGACCCGCCCCACCACGCCCCCCCTCGGCGAGGCCGCGGGGTCCTAGCGTCCGTCGGCGCGCCCCCTTGTGACTCGGTTTATCCGGAACTGATGGATGGTGGGATGGAGCAACTCCTTTATGCTGGAACCCAGGCTGGGAAAGAGCGAAGGGGGCGGAATGAAAGGGGTGAGGAGATGGAAAGGAAGAGCTGTAGGAGCGAGTCCTGCCCCAGGCCTGCTGCACGTGCAATTCGTGGCCCCGCGGGGTCTGGACGGGCGGGTGGCTCTAGGAGCCGCAGGTCCGCAGAGGAAATCCGGCCGGGCCCCGATTTCCCCGCTGCCGGCGCCACCGCACTTACGGGGGGGGGCCAACAGAAGAGGTGGTGTCGTGGCTGAATGCGGAAGGAAATGACCCTTCACTAGCCCTGGGGCGGCCGTGGAGGTGGTTCACCGCACCACACCGCACCTCGGCGGTTCCTGCTAGTGAGGCCAGGCAAGTCACTGCTCCTCTCTGTAGTCCATAGTGTCCAGATGAAACCTCCTTCAACGTCTCCCAGGCCCCTAAACGACCCTGTAAAACAGTACCATCATAGTCCCCAGTTTTCAGACGGATAAATAGTTTTCGGATGGGATGGTGGCAGTGAATATAAATAAAAACCAAAGTCTCTGGGACTTTTATGGTTTCCATTTATAGATGAGGAAACTGAGGTTCAGAAATGGTTGAAGGACATATTTAAAGTCACAGTGTCTGTAAGCGGCAAGGCTTTGAACTCAGTGTGTTCACAAAGCTGAATCCAGGGTGGTTTGGGTGCCTTTCCCAGGCATCATCTTAACTGTTTGTTGTTGTTGTTTGTTTTTTTTTTAAGTGCTGTGGAAATAGGAAGGTAGTAATGTTTCCTTTTTCATCAGGGATTGAAACGGATCTTCCCCAAAGCCACCCCCTCTTCTAAATGCCTGGCCCCACCA